CACATAAATTTTATACAGATATACTGTATATTATATTTGTATATATTTTTGCAGATCTTTAAAGTTAAACTACATTTTAAATGTAACATTTAAGTTATACAGTATTTATATACTGATTTGTGAGTAATAAATATTCTCAATTATTTTAATAATTGTAATTAAAAATTAATTAAATAAATAAATATAGCATTTTGCAGATTGAATTATTTTGATAAAACTAATCTTATTTCAACTTTAATATTTTTACCTTCAGTTAATTGAGTTGCAGTATTTATTTTAAATGAATGAATGCATAAAGGTACTAAATGATACTAAATTTAACAAGTTTAAATCGAGTTTTAAATTAATTGCTATGTTCTTTAAAAACTTACAGGGGTAGGGGATTTGGACGAACAATTTTATAAACCACATTCTTCATAAACTAATTGTGGTTAGAAATGATCCAGAAATTTATATAATTTAATTAAACATTAGGCTTTTGTCTATATAATTTAATATTTCAACCTTCGAGAATCGATAGATTTTAATAAATTTAAAATCAATTTAATTAATCATTTTAAATAACTTTTTATATATTTATAATTTTTTATATATTATTTATAATTCAGTGTTTTTGTAAAGAACATCACCTGTTAGGTGAATGCAAAGCACTTTAAATAAACTGATTTGATTTGATTTAATTAACTTAATTATATCTATTTATTATTAGCATTTATTTACCATGTTAACAATTATATTTTAGATATAGTTGAAACAATGAGTTGTGTGAACGTGAAACATTTTACGACACCGTAAGTGAATGTGATTTTTTACGATAAAAATATTCCCGTGAGTGTGAGTAAAAATGTTTCAAATTACCAAGACCAGTTGAAATACATAGAAATATCACAAATTTTGGGCAAAAAAGTGTTCATATAATCCACAGCATCGATGATTCGTGGGATCGACTATTTTAACATTAAGTCTATGAGATGTGTATTTTTGTTTTGGACATTGGTTCATAACATTGCTTATATTGTTAGTTTACAACATCGCTGGTTTACAGGAAAGAAGTCTGACTGTAGTAATTATAATATAACAGATTTTAAATTATAAGATATTTTATTTTTTAAACATAAAACTACTTTAATTGCTAATTAAATGTATTGAATAAATAAATAAATATAAAGGTTTTACATTTAATATTTACATTAAATAATTAACATTTACATCAACTCAATTAATGATAATTTAACTGAAATGTAAAACATTTTTGAATTGATTTTTAATTTGTTAAAACAACCAATTTATTATTTCTTTAAACAATAAATTTTATGTAAATTTCAACTAATAGTGGGTTTTTAGTATTTTACTTTACCCTTAATCTTGTGGACACCTCTATGTGATGTAACAAATGACCTGTACCAGCATAAAGATTTAACTGTATAAATAAATGTTATACAGTATTAATTAATTTATGGAAATTTTTATCAAACAAATTAATAATTAATTTAAGATCAATGTGAGTTTTATCATAAAATAAACCAGATTAATTTTAGTTAAATTCTAATCAATTTAAAGTATAATAGAATTAATATTATTTAATCTNGGAAATTTTTATCAAACAAATTAATAATTAATTTAAGATCAATGTGAGTTTTATCATAAAATAAACCAGATTAATTTTAGTTAAATTCTAATCAATTTAAAGTATAATAGAATTAATATTATTTAATCTAACATTTATGTCACTATTGATTTTATTTGCAAAGCAATTGTGATAAATATTATTAAACATACCGGTCGTAAATTAGATATTACTAGATAAAAGATCACAATTATATAATCATAAAAGTAACTAATACTAAATAAATAATTTCAAACTTTATTCCATTATTTGATACCCGTTTATAATCGCTGTCAATGTTACCTAGATGTTACTCAATATTATAATATTTAACATTAATAATTATACAATGAATACAGAAAACGATCATGCTCAAAATGTGATTATAATTTATAACTAATGGTGGTTAAAATTAGAAATTTCCAAAAATTACAAGAAATTTCTCACATCGCAGATGAAGACTGTCCTCAGAAATGCACTTTTTATATAAACATTATTACATTATATTTTGTTTGTGAAACATTATATTATGTAAACTACACAACAAGTAAATTTAAATTAACCCATTTTATATCCAATACAGATAATTTGATTATGGTTAATTACAAAATTATTAATATAATGGGATGAAAAATAAATATTTGCATTTTTAATAATTTGATTGTATCATCGATTCTGTATTAACTAATTATTAAGTTTAAAGAACTCTTTTAACAACTAATTAAAATTGAATAATAAACTAATTAAAACTATATAATGTGTATTATATAATATCTTCATTTGTAGAGCAAACTTACGTATCTGAATACCATGTTATTAATTATTTTATGATTTTTACAAAAACCATAATGTGATTGTAATTATATTTTTGACACAAATTAATTATCTACAAGATCCTTTAATAAAAAATTTGATAAATTATATTATTTTATAACTTTTGTATTTGGGTACCGTTTTTCAAAAATAAACTCATTTTCTTCTAACAATTCATTGCAATTGCTTTAGACATTAAATTTTTAACAATTTAAACATTAAATTATTTTTTACGTTAAGTTTTTTGGGAAGTCTTATACTCAAAACAATCGTAAGAATTATTTATTTATTTTGTTATAAATATATTTATTTACTCACGAGTTAGAGGTTTATGTCATGTATTGTATTTTTCAATATTTTTATATTTACAAAAATTTTCAAATATTTTTAACAAAAACTTCTTTATATAAGATCAATTTTAGCATTTAAGATTTAATTATATTTATTAGTATAATTAATGAATATATATTTTTAAATATAATTAATAAATTGGCGATACGGCGGGTGTTTATAGCCATTTGTACGTTTCATAACACCCATACAAATGATATCCTTTTATTATAAGTAAATTGTCTCAAAAAGTTCAATATATTTGTCGGTTAAATATATAACTGACACTTTTGGGACAATCGAAAGACTTAAGTTTTGGTCAACCGATCATGGTCAATTATAGCTTTGTTCACTCTATTAAAACGCCGCCCAACTCATCAACGTCATTTTCCCTCATTTTCAGTTTTTAATCTAGTCAAAATTTAGATTTATAAGTTTACCCTTCTCTCGCCCACAACTCCCAATTATTTAAGTTAGTTTTGTAAATAAACACAAATGTTTTAATATAATAATAATCATCATCATCATTTATTATATTAAAACATTTGTAATACTCGTAAATCTAATTAATTGTGTTTTTAGTTAAAATTAGAATCATTACAATAAACATTTTAGTAAATTATACAATTTATTATGAGTTTAGAAAATTTGGTAATATCAAATTCTTACTAATTATTATATTTATAATGATGGGTAACAATCATAAGAGATTTTAATGTTTTATTAAAAATATATAAATTATTCACAAAATAAAACAAATACAAACAAAATATTATTTAATAAATAAACAATAAAATTAATATTATTAAAGATTACTTTGTTATATAATTATAGTTAGTACATTTTATGTTAATTATGTTATGTTATGTAATATATGTTGATATGTTAATTTAATACATGTATGATTTTGTTTTTTGTTTCATAGGAATCATATTACTGCATATAATTATTTATAAAAATTCTTTATCAATATCTTTTATAAAATTAATAACAGTGTTTATTATACTGTATAATTAAAAATAATAATAAGCTTAATTATATTATAATTGATTATAATGAGTGTTATAATTAAACGAGTAAGGACATTGTTTCAAAATGACCATAATGAATTAAGTGTAGATATTAGAAACGAAAACAGATGTAAAAACTATGTAAAATATGGGAGACTTCAAAGTTAAGTAAATTAAATTAAATTAAATTAAACTAATTAATAATTATATCTAAAAAATTTATATAAAAACTACATTTCAATTAATTTTTAATACAAAACAATATTTTCCTCTTTCTTAAGTGTATTCTTTTTAACCCTTATTATAGACACGAGTTTTATGTCTCAAATCACGTATTTTTCATACACTATATTCAATACAATACACAATAAATGTTTTAATAAATAATTTGTTTTATGAGACGCTATAGAAAGCTATATAATAGCGAAAATTGAGAGTAAAAAATGTATTTTTTCTGACAAATCTCTCATTAAAGTTATATTCACTTATAAATTATTTTATCACTGATTCGGCGCTTTATTATCAAAAACATTTATTATCATTATATAACACATCTTAAGGTTTTATTTTCATTACTCCCTTCATATAGTGTACTAACATATATAATAATAGTACGTTTGGCACATATTTCTTCAACATATTATTCTATAATACGATTCATATATAAAATTATAGCTTAAATAATATTAGTTTTTGAACAAAAACATTACAATTACGAGACATAAAAATCACAATAACTATAAATGAATTACTAGTCGTGAGAGAGAATTAAATAACTTTGTAAAAAATGTCTGAAAATCATAAATGTTTGCTTTCTTTGCTTCCCTCTCCGCCCGAGTTGTGCCACAATTCAGTCCTAATATGTCTGGCATAGAGTCGAGTGAAATATTATTTTAAATCAAAACCTGTCGACTCTTGATGTCAAGCAAATAATCATTTTTATATCATTTAATAATTTTCTATTGAATGTAATCGAAACCACTTTTAATTGTTAAAAAAAAATCTGCTTAAAAGTCAAACAAATCTGTTTCTATAAACTTTCAAACTATTGTTAAATCGTTACTGTATTTCATATCATTATAGTGTAAATAAATATAAAAAACTAAAAATACTAATAATATGTATAAATAAATTGCAATTGAGATCGGATTAATTGATTGATTATATTTGATGAACAAACAATTCTTTACTAATTGTTTATAAATTTATAATAATAAAAACTTAAATAAATTAAATATATAATGAGGTAAAGACCGTATAATAAAAACCAAAAAGTATTAAAAATTAATAAAAACTCAATTCAAATGATTAGCACTAAAGAGAAAACTATGGGTTTTTGGAAGAAAAAGTCCGGATTAGAGAAGAAGCTAATCGTCGCCACTGTTGTCGTCACTCTCGTAGCCATCGGTCTATTGATTGCCGTTATTGTAGTCGCCGTCAAAAGTAATGCAAATTTACAGTTAAATATACTATGTGTTTAAAATTCACACTAATTTTGTGTCAACTTATAACCAGAACCCGACGAACCGGACGTTTGCGATACTCCTGAGTGTCTAATCGCAGGTAATTGTAAAATATGTCACAAAATGTGATATTAATAATTACGGATTGTTTTATTTTGTGAATTATTTTCAAACACCAAACAACTCAAAGCGTCAAACCTTCAGATATCACTGAATTTAACGGCCGACCCGTGCCATGACTTCTATGAGTACGCGTGCGGCGGTTGGATGGCTAATAACGTGATATCTCCAGACAGATCCCGATGGTCTCAATTCGATGTCACCAGAAAGACATTACTCGACAAACTTAGAGGTATTGTCCATGTTCAATTATTTGATTAATTTTTATCAATTGCCAACAAAGTACAAAAGTATCTAATAACGTTAAACATAATTGTATTTATAATTGTATTCATGTAAACATAATTAAACATAACAAAAATTAAACATAAATTCCTGTCACTCAGGACTTCTTGAGGCAACATATGAGGGAAACAAATATCCACAGATTGTCACACAAGCGACACAACTCTATAGTCAGTGTTTGAATTCAAGTAAGGCTTATATAAATTCAATACAATTTTTACATTAGTAGATATTCTATAATAATATATCATATTTTATGTTTAGTATTCATTTTAACTAATAGTTTATAAAACATAATGGTCTAAATTTTATTAAAATAATTTTAAATTAAAAACACAAAAAATAGAAAAACGAGACACAGGTTTCCAAGAGCTCAAAGAATTGGTTAAAGAGTGGCCAATGATTAACACAAACACCGAAAATCCCAACTTCTTGTGGCACAAGTCTGTCGCCAAACTCAATAGAGAGCACGGATTTAGTTTCATTTTATCCAATTATGTCTATTTGGACGCTAAGAAAACAAGCATTTATTCAATATATGTAAGCATTTAGGCATAAATATAATTACGAATTACTAAACACTAAGCGATACTAATACTGATGTGTGAGCACAGGTGGACGCGCCATCATTTGGTGTCGGACGGGCACAACTGGTCAAACCTGAAGAGCCGGATAACGTTAAGATATTGGACGCCTATAAAGCTTTCATCAAGGCTTCGGTCCAGTTGTTGGCCGACAGTCCAGACCGAGTCAGCCCAACCATTGACGCCGACATCAATGCTATCGTAAAGTTTGAGTCAGATTTGGCCAAATTGACGGCCGAAGCGGCCGATCGTCGGAACCGAACCGAATTATACGGCGATAAAACAGATATCGAGTCATTTGTAAGCAAATACAATATTCCTCTTCTGGATATCGAGACACAAGTGTTTGAAAACTACAAACCAATTGATGGAAAGACAGGTCTTATAGTTTACGACAAAAAATATTTTGAAAGATTGGCTAATTTGTTGACCACAACTATTAACACTAATAAAAGGTACGTAAAAATAGTTAATTAATTATAACAAATTTAATAACTACCAAATATTCTACTAAATTATTTTTCATTATAATTGAAAAATATTATATAACTTTAAACAGTCCTTACAATTGTTAGTACTATTTAATTAAATTATTATTAATATAACAAAAAACGGAAAAATTAACATTAATTAACAAAAGTATTAATTGCTTAGAATTTTGGCCAATTATATCTCGTGGCGAACCGTCCGATCGCTGGGCACTCACACCTCAAAAGCGTTCAGAGATATAGAGTTTGCGTTCAATAAAGTGGTCACAGGAGTCGAAGAACCCAAAGCCCTGTGGGAGGAGTGCGTAGATCTGGTCAACAATCGGCTCCCTTTCGCCGTCGGAAGGGTTTATGTGGACAACAACTTCTCAGAAGAGGCCAAACAAGACATGAATTCATTGATTGATCTCTTGAACAAAGCTTTTGAACAATTACTCGACGATAACGAGTGGATGCAAAAGGAGACTAAGGATAAGGCCAGAGAAAAGGTTATATTTTTCAATTTTATTATTAATATTTGAAAATTATTATTAATATATTCTATTAGTTGAAAGACATGTTGCGAGCCATCGCTTACCCTGAATTCATCAAATCAGACAATGAATTAACGGATTATTATAACGGAGTAAATACTAACTAAACTTTTTTAAACTTTATTCTTTATTTAGTTTACATTATTAATATACAAAACAAAATATATTACATATTAATTATAGTAATTTTAACATTAAACAGTTAACCATAAATCCGGAAAAATCATTTTTGGATTCAATTAATGTAAACAATTTATGGGCGACGAGAAAATCATTGGATAAATTAGACAAACCAAACAACGATCGTTCACTTCTAGAGTCAGTCTTTTTATTGTTTATTAAAGTTATAATAAATTAATGTTTAATTTTTACCATATATTGCAAAAGATGGTCAACGGGTCCGGCAATTGTGAACGCATTCTTCAGCCCTAATATTAATCGCATCAGTAATTTAATGAACACTTATATCAAACATTTTACAAATTATTAATATATTTTTCATTACAACAGCATTTCCTGCGGGAATACTTCAGTCGCCTTTCTATACATATGGACTTCCGATGTAAGACATTATACTTGTATTTTAATTCAAAAATAATTAATGATTGATAATTGAAATGCAAATCCCGATTCTTTGTATTCTCAATCATCATGATAAAATTTCTGACAAAATACTAAATAGTGTCCCGTATTTATAGTGCAAATCATTATTTTCTAATGAATAGCCAGACTTAATGTGTAATAAAACTTTTCAATTGGTTTTATTGTAGAGATATACATATACTGTACAAGTATTTAGTTTTTACAGATTTTTAAAATAAAAACACATGATAATATCAACATGATTAAACACAATCAATATGTTAGTAAATTTTTATTTTTAATAAATGTAGTTTTAATCTAATTTTCTATTAACACAAACCAAATTTTTAATACAAGATATAATATTTAGAAATTAATGAATCACATTTATTTCCAGGGCTTTAAATATGGGAGGCATTGGAATGGTGAATACATTGTATAATAGGTTTTACAATTATTATGTATTTATATTTGTATATATTAATTATATTAAGGTCATTGGACATGAAATTACACATTCATTTGACGACTCGGGTATAGATATTAATTAATTAGTATATGTGAATAAAAATTCAATGCAATACCTATTATATGAATATTACCTAATATTATACACCTATACCTATAGGCGCTCAATACGATAAGGAGGGGAATCTAGAGAACTGGTGGGACGAAGAAACTCAAAACAAATTTACTGAAAAAGTCAAATGTTTTATCAATCAATACAGCGGTTATCACATCGAAAGCATCAATAAAAATGTCTGTTTTTTAATTTTTAATAATTGAATAATTAGTTTATAATAAAGTCTTGTTTTTCAGGTCAACGGAAAGACAACAATAGGCGAGAATATCGCAGATAACGGAGGTTTAAGACAAGCTTTTAGAGTAGGAAAAAATATTTGAATAGTAAATCAAACATATTTATTAATTTATTATTATATTTTTAAACAATCCCTAACATCATCCCTAACCCTATCCCTAACCCCATCCCTAACCCCATCCCTAACCCCATCCCTAACCCCATCCCTAACCCCATCCCTAACCCCATCCCTAACTCCATCCCTAACCCAATCCCTAACCCCATCCCTAACCCGTGCCGTCTCTACTCATTAGGCGCTCGAGAATTACAGCGGAAACAAGAAGTTATTGCCCGGAAGTATGCAATCCTTCACAAGTGAACAGCTATTCTTCCTCTCCTTTGCAAACGTCGGTTACAAATAGTCTTTCAAATCAATAAAATTACTAATTTGTGTGTAAATCCCGTTCCCATCATAGGTGTGGTGCACAAACATTAGGGACCCGGCGCTAATCAATCAGATAGAGATCGATCCGCACAGTCCGGGCAAATACCGGGTCTGGGGTTCGGTTTCCAATTCGGACTCATTTGCCAAAGCATTCAATTGTAAGCCAAAGACTACTATGAATCCCGACTCCACTTCGAAATGCATTCTGTGGTAAACATAACAAACATTTTTCAATTGTCGGTCAAATACTTACAATTGATTTTGCAAATACAGTATTATATAATTGCTATAATGTTTGTGTTTAAATTCCACTCTCTGTTAACTTAAATATTTAAATTATGTTAAATTATTGTGTTTAAAATTTACCAAAACTTGTACTCAAAGACCAAGAATATAAAGTTACATGTAAATCAAAAATACGAACAATTTATATTAAAATTACTGAATTATAAATTATTTGTTTATTTGTGAACATTAACAATAAAAATGATTGATTGTGATAAAATATGTGTCATTAACATCAATGTCACCACAATTCACAATTGAATCCCACATTCATTTGTGATCCCAATTTGCAATTGAATGCATCGGAAAATGGTTTAAATTTACTTAAATGTGGATTAACTCTGTATTTGAGAGGAGAGTGCGGATCGTATTCTATCTGGTGTTTCAGTTCTTCGGGTCTAATGAGTCCGCAAGCGATCTATGGATACAAAAAAGCATTAAAAATAAGAAAATAGTTTTTTAAAAATAAAATGTCTATACATTTGCATACGATATGAAGAATAACTGATCGGTTGTGTATTCAGTCATATAAGGCAATCGTTGGGATTCACCAAACTTTCTCTCATATGATTTAAACCCTCTGAAAGCCTGTTTAATACCCCCGGCATCTGATATGTCTTCTCCCACTGTATTTTTGGCGTTTAACTAAATGCCAACAACTTATCAATAATATAATTAAGTTAAATAGTAATCATAAATGATGTCATTTACAGTCATATTCACTTCGGGAACAATATATTCACTGAATTTATTTATAAAACATTTAGTTTTTTCTTTAAATATCCTTTTCATACAATCGTTCCACCAATTGATCAAATTTCCGGACGAATCGTATTCACTACCTGTTGTTCAACATATTTACTATATTCACTGAATTTATTTATAAAACATTTAGTTTTTTCTTTAAATATCCTTTTCATACAATCGTTCCACCAATTGATCAAATTTCCGGACGAATCGTATTCACTACCTGTTGTTCAACATATTTACCATAACATTACAACCATTATTATCTTATAATTATCTATTTATCCATAGATATCTATTAACATTTATACCCTGATCATCAAAACCATGTGTAAATTCGTGTCCAATAACCTGCATATTAAACCATTCATTAGTTATGATAGAAATATATGAATTAAAATATTAATATTTACCACTCCTATGGACCCAAAGTTGAGATAAGGGGGCACTTGATTGCGGAAAAAGGGAGGACTTAATATACCGGCTGGTATTGCTGTCAATACAATATAACATAGAATTATTATAATTAATAATCGAGAAATATTTACTAATAGTGTTTTGTGTTGGATCGTAGTATGCATTCACTTTTGCTGGATATGTGGGCCAACTGTTAATCAATATAAATTGAATTATTATTCAAATTTATTTAATTAAACTATAATTACTTTAATGTTATATTAATAGGTTTGCGCAACTGTTGAAACATATTATACACAGACATTGTCTGCAAATAAAGCAAACTTTCAAACGCTTTTCTTTTGTCGACAATTTGTGTCTAAAAATTGAGATTAACAACAATTTCATTAATTAAAATGCAAACAATTAATGCCAATAATTACCAAATTATACAATTTATCCAATTCTTTGTTATCCAACAACCAGTCGGGATAACCGATGTCTTCATTGATTGCATTCAATTTTTCAATTGACTTATTCCTCGTCAAGTCGTCTAACCATTCATTATCTTTCAGCGCTCTTCTCATCGCTTTCTTTACATATTTCACCACAACTTTGACCTAAAAATACACAAAAATAAATTAAACTCTAAATAAATATAATTATTTCTAAGATAACGATAAGGGATCACCTCTTGTCGTGAGATATCACTAAAATAGTTGTCCACATATTTCCTGCTGTAAGCGAAGGGTAGATAACTATTGAGCGAATCGACGCAATGTTTTCCAAGAGGTGTCCACGTCTTGACCCCTTTGGCCACTGAATTGAACACAAACTCAATTTGTCTAAACCTGTGGGTCGTATAGACGGCCATTCGTTTAACAGTGAGCCAACCCAAGTGGTTAGCGATAACACGGGGAGGAGTGTTGACCACCAGTCGGGTCACCTCCCGATAGTAGGCCATGTCGTCCACAACCAGCCTTTCCTTCGGGTTTAATACAATATTTGAATTGAATTTCTTATAAAGTCGTTGTGTTATTGCTTTCCAATCCAATCGATTGCCTGTCATTGCGTTAAAACTATTGAATGTCATGCGATTGTACCAAATCTGTGATTCCCGCATGTCTTCCGGTTTTGTCGATAACTTTTTTAATTAAATAAAATATCATATTTTATAAGTGTTTAAATTGTCGACAAATTTGTCAATACTTTTGCCAATTTTGACTCAAAAGCAAATAATTCTCGGATATCATTATGTGTTTGATTGTCATTATAAGCGCCCAAAAGTAGCGCTGACTCCAGTATATACTGTTTATATGCGTTTACAATATCGTAATATAGACTAGTATTGACCAATTGATTGCGACCCAAACCAAACTCCGGGACACTGAACTGAATGCAAATGTTTTTATTTAAATTAATTTTTGAAATTAATGTTAGTAGTTATAAAAACATTTAATCAATTTAATTTTAAGACATACGTATAGAATATTTGTATTTGTTTGATTTGCATCCGGCAAAACGGCAACTTGAAACAAAGCTGGCAATCCTACATATTTTGCTTACAATTAGATAAAAGCAATTAATTAATTAAAGTCTAACCAGTAAAAACATATAGGTTGACAAACGCCTCAACCAAATCATATTTGTTGGGATCAAACTGCGATCGGCGACCCATTAGAGGCCAACCGCCCAATCGGTTCAGTAGATCAACCAGTGGTCGAATGCCTCGCAATTCAAGCGTTTCTAACAAATAAACAACATTTTAACAAAAATATGCACAAAACGTGTGAACACTAAACCATTATCACTGCAGGCGGTGTAGTAGTCGAGAGCGTATCGGACAGACATGGCATCGGCGCGACCGCCCGTCCTATTCATCTCATACATCATAATGTTGTCCAACCGGTCGTCCAACTCATCCAACCGTAGATATCGTGACAAGTGTTGCGGTATTCGATGCGATCGTTTCCAACCGCCGC